TGGGTGCTGTAATCCAAGCATACCCAGAGGGACCCCAGTTCACAAGAGACTAACTTAATGTCTTAAGAGGACCAGCTTGCCCTCGTGGTTAGAAACATCAAAGATGCCGCCTTCCTCTTTATGCCATGGGGTATAAGAAACTAAGCTCTTTGACAGATAGAAGAATGCCGTTCTATTAACTAACCCAACAGCAGGGTCCAGCAACAGCAGCTACTGAAACTCAACCCCAGCAGTGGCTGTTTCCAAGATCAGAAGGAAGAGGCAACCCAGTTCTTACACCAGCCTCCAGCTCTTGCATAAATTTAATGTGCATAATTTAAAAATAAACTTTAGCAGCAAGAAAGCTACAAGCCCAAGTAAAGATACTGCCACAGTTTGAAACACACCGGATGTTCAGTATTCAATTATTGCTAGAATGAAAAAGGAGAAGGGGAAATACCACAGAAACTGTTTACTGAAGATGCCAAAAACAGATGTTTCCAATTAAATCAAACATTAAATGCCTGAGCTCATTTATTGATTATATTTATATTCTACTTTTCTTTCCAGGAACTCCAGAGGAGGGGGCAGTCCACAATGCTGCCATTTCCTTATTTTACTCTCCCAAACTTTAAAGGTAGGCTAAGAGGAAAAATAGCAATTGCTTGAGGTCATCTGGCTGAGTGGTAAACTGGGTGCTGGTCTCCCTAATCCCATTTGGATTAAAAAAAAAAAAACCAGAGCCAATTTTCATGCATTTTTCCCCCTAGCAATCAGCCGGGTTGAGGAAGGTGAGTTTATCGATGAAAAATTTGTTCAAAGGAGAAGATAAATTCTGACATTCTCACGGGTGCAGTGCAACGGTTTTGCATTTATTAAGTGGCCAAGAGGTATGGGTAAATGCCTTGCCTTTCATTATGCAGCCCTTTCTCAAACTGTCTGCAGCCTCCCTGGCTTCCTATCCTTCCATTACATTCCAAGGCAGGACACCCCCAGGGAACTCCTCCCATGAGGCTTTTTCAGATTGGGAAGTAGAGGCAGCCAGGGAGGCTGTAGAATGGCAGATGCACCCGAGGGCAGACTCACACTTCCATCTTATCCCAGAGGTAGCACCAGCACCCACCATTTTTGGAGGGTAAATACGCATGACATTACCCTCAATCCATCCCTAACTTCTGCCTGCATTTTCCAGCTCTACATCAAAGGGAGTGTTTCCTGTTTTGCTCCAGCTAAAGCCAGGGAGTCTGGTTTGCTGCTGCAGTTCAATCCTTTATAAGCAAACCCCTCCACTCCAATTGGCAAGTGTGCTTGTGGTGGGAACACCCCCTCCCCTCCAATTGCTGCCCTCCCCTGCCTTTTTCTTTTTCTTTTTTACAATATCACTGATGGGACAATGCAATATGGAGGGTTTTTTTGTTTTAATCAAGTGAAAGGGACAAGAATTCTGCCACTATCCTTTCTAGCCCATATGAAGGGAAAATGTGGGGTCTCTCCCCTTCCCTCCCTCATTCGCCCAGGCCACAAAGGATAAAGCAGGAGATTCCACCCATCAGGGACTATGGTAAACACAGTCCAGGCAAAACATCAAGCCACCAGTGTGGTGAAAACAAAGGAAAGGTTGATATCTGGAAATGGATTTCTTAAGCTAGCATCATTTCCATCTAATTTATGCACAGGAGATAAGCAGCCAAAGGCTACAGTGCAGAAAAAACCTTTGTAGTAGGAAAAAATCAACTACAGTACCACCAGTAACCCCCTCTGCCATGCCAATAACCTAGTAAGCTCAAAAACGCCAACAAAAGAAATGTGAAAGAAATTCTCAAGCAGGCTGAGAAAATGGTAGAGAAATAGAGGCCTCTTTTGCAGGGGGAAAAACATCCAAGAAATGGGAATGCTTATTTCAGCATTCTGTAAGATGCATGAGAACTGAGGGAAGCAATAATTTGGACTTCATAGCATATAAAAGGTGTAAACCATCTCTTCAGTACCTCCACTGGGTCTAAGAAGCGTTATCAGTGCTGTTATGTGCAATGTGGATAAAAAAAGAACTAGAGTTTGCTAATTTGAGGGAAGTTGAAGAAGGGGAAGATGAGAGATAAGGAGGACGGATTGGATCAAATGAATTATAGGACTGCCCTTAGCAGAGTACAAGTTACAGCTGGAAATATCTCAAGTGGCAATTCAGCCCTCATCCATGCAGCAAATCCCACATCCCTCCATGCAAATTGACTCATTGGAATGTGGCTGATGATGACCACATCTCCACTTGCAAGGACCTATCACATAATTATGCCCCAGCAACCCTTACTTTCTCCCTTGTCCCTGGGACGTAGTCCTTTTCTCACCTCCAACCCATTAGTGAAACTGCCTTAAGCTGTACCAGTGTTACAACAGCATTTTGCCCCCTACTCCATCATCATCCAGTGATATCCCCAAGGTGCGTAAAATCAGGCTTTGTCACCCATTACCTTGGGGAGAGTTCAGATGACCTCAGGGATTGGGAACAGAGGCAACTGGGGTAGAAGAAGAATCATACATGGGAATAGCAAATGTCATGCTGGTATTGTCTTCAGCAGACTGGATGGGTGAGAACCACGTAGCCTTTAGCAATTTCAGAAAAGTCAAAGACAGAGGAAAAAGTAATGCAGAAATACTGGAATTCTTGGGGCCTTTCATGAAGGACTAGAAATGCACTGGACTGCATGGTTAGCACTTCTCGGGCATTTGAGGAGCACTTCTCCATCCGGGGTCTTTGCACTGATCCCCTCATTCTTAATTCAGTTTCAGAGAGGGGCAGTGCATTGGGACAACCAAATTGGAAAAGTGGGGGGAAAAGTTAAATTCTGGTGACAACACTCTATCCCCAATTTAAAGAAATTCTGATTGGATTATCTCCTTATCCAACACATGATTTCTTTTACAGGTGGCCGAATAAACCACAATAGGCTACAAACCCATAGTTAATAAGCCCTTGGCCAGATACACAACAGCAAAACAAATTACATCACAATTTAGCATGAGGTGTAAATCTTATGAGACAGATGAATCACACTCAAGACTTTAACAGGTTTCCTTGTTTGGCCCAGGCAGGTGTGGGTTTCCTGACACACAATGTTTCGATAAAGCAGTGTTAAGATGTCCTCCAGACATGTTGCAATTACAGCACCCCAAATGTTCAGCAGACTAGCTGGGAGCTGTGGCGTTTAAAATCTAATGAGTTTGGGGGGTATTATAGGAGGAAAAGCTGCTCTGGTATGCTCTACAGATAATTCTGGGGGGTAGGGACAACCAGAGCCCTCCCCTCTACATTTCAGCTTCATCTTCTCAATGGTTTGGTCTTGAAGAAGACACCTCAACAACGGGAATCCGGCCTACGTTCACCAGCCCTGCTGGCTTGCAGCTGGACAGACTCCGTGTGGGCTCTGCCCCACATGCAAACCAGGACTTCTGACTTCGATGTCTGAACCTCTTCCCTTGCAGCTGGACGTGGGATAAAAGACGTTCCTGTAAGGGGGGGGGGGGTGTTAAGGCAGCTAGAAAGTAAAGGCAGCTGGACATTCCTCCTAAGAACTTCACTCCTTTTCAGTTTGGTCGGACTCGTCCCTCCATAGAGAGGGCTGCCCCCTTTGAACTCAATCGGGATTCTGGAATTAAGCCAATGTTCTGGGTGCGCACGAGGCAGTGAACCATAAACCAACTCAACGGGATGGGGTCAACCCAACCGCCAGACTAAACTGTGATTAGCTGGTTTATGGCTCGAGGGGGCGAGCGATACCCCCGCCCGCTTTTCTTTTCTTGTTTAAGTTTCCAGGAAAGTGAGAGAGCGCTAAGAAGGCGGAATGAAGGCGAGGTGGCCGCAGAGCTGCTCACCTGCAAATCCCTGCCCCGCTGAACAAAGGGAAGGTCGGCTTCCTTCCGGGTAAACAGGCTGGGAATAACCACCGCAGCGGGTCAGGTGCGCGCCGTCCGCCGCGCAGAGCCAGCGGAGCGCCGCGTCCCCCTCCCGGAGCCCCGGAAAGCTTCTGCGAGGAAGGGGCTGCGAA